TTCCTCCTTTCCTATTTGAATACCCTTTATTTCTTTTTCTTGCCTGATTGCTCTGGCTAGAACTTCCAGTACTATATTGAATAGGAGTGGTGAAAGAGAGCATCCTTGTCTAGTGCCAGATTTCAAAGGGAATGCTTCCAGTTTTTGCCCATTCAGTATGATATTGTCGTAAATAGCTTTTATTGTTTTGAGATACGTTCCATCAATGACGAGTTTATTGAGGGTTTTTAGCATAAAGGGCTGTTGAATTTTGTCAAATGCCTTCTCTGCGTCAATTGAGATAATCATGTGGTTTTTGTTTTTGGTTCTGTTTATGTGGTGAATTACGTTGATAGACTTGCGTATGTTGAACCAGCCTTGCATCCTCGGGATGAATCCTACTTGATCATGATGAATAAGTTTTTTGATTTGCTGTTGCAATCGGGTTGCCAATATTTTATTGAAGATTTTTGCATCTATGTTCATCATGGATATTGGCCTGAAGGTTTCTTTTCTCGTTGGGTCTCTGCCGGGTTTTGGTATCAGAATGATGTTGGTCTCATAAAATGATTTGGGAAGGATTCCCTCTTTTTGGATTGTTTGAAATATTTTTAGAAGGAATGGTACCAGCTCCTCCATGTGTGTCTGGTAGAATTCGGCTGTGAACCTGTCTGGACCTGGGCTTTTTTTGTGTGGCAGGCTCTTAATTGCTGCCTCAACTTCAGACCTTGTTATTGGTCTATTCATGGTTTCAGCTTCCTCCTGGTTTAGGCTTGGGAGGACACAGGAGTCCAGGAATTTATCCATTTCTTCCAGGTTTACTAGTTTATGCGCATATAGTTGTTTGTAATATTCTCTGATGATGGTCTGAATTTCTGTGGAATCTGTGGTGATTTCCCCTTTATCATTTTTTATTGCATCTATTTGGTTGTTCTCTCTTTTATTTTTAATCAATCTGGCTAGTGGTCTGTCTATTTTGTTGATCTTTTCAAAAAACCAGCTCTTGGATTTATTGATTTTTTGAAGGGTTTTTCGTGTCTCAATCTCCTTCAGCTCAGCTCTGATCTTAGTTATTTCTTGTCTTCTGCTGGGTTTTGAGTTTTTTTGATCTTGCTCCTCTAGCTCTTTCAATTTTGACGATAGGGTGTCAATTTTGGATCTCTCCATTCTCCTCATATGGGCACTTATTGCTATATACTTTCCTCTAGAGACTGCTTTAAATGTGTCCCAGAGGTTCTGGCATGTTGTGTCTTCGTTCTCATTGATTTCGAAGAACTTCTTTATTTCTGCCTTCATTTCATTGTTTACCCAGTCAACATTCAAGAGCCAGTTGTTCAGTTTCCATGAAGCTGTGCGGTTCTGGGTCGGTTTCTGAATTCTGAGTTCTAACTTGATTGCACTATGGTCTGAGAGGCTGTTTGTTATGATTTCAGTTGTTTTGCATTTGTTGAGCAGTGCTTTACTTCCAATTATGTGGTCAATTTTAGAGTAGGTATGATGTGGTGCTGAGAAGAATGTGTATTCTGTGGATTTGGGGTGGAGAGTTCTGTAAATGTCTATCAGGTTTGCTTGCTCCAGGTCTGAGTTCAAGCCCTGGATATCCTTGTTGATTTTCTGTCTGGTTGATCTGTCTAATATTGACAGTGGAGTGTTAAAGTCTCCCACTATTATTGTGTGGGAGTCTAAGTCCTTTTGTAAGTCGTTAAGAACTTGCCTTATGTATCTGGGTGCTCCTGCCTTGGGTCCATATATGTTTAGGATCGTTAGCTCTTCTTGTTGTATTGATCCTTTTACCATTATGTAATGGCCTTCTTTGTCTCTTTTGATCTTTGTTGCTTTAAAGTCTATTTTATCAGAGATGGGAATTGCAACTCCTGCTTTTTTTTGCTTTCCGTTTGCTTGGTAAATATCCTCCATCCCTTTATTTTGAGCCTTTGTGTATCCTTGCATGTGAGATGGGTTTCCTGTATACAGCACACTGATGGGTTTTGGATTTTTATCCAATTTGCCAGTCTGTGTCTTTTGATTGGTGCATTTAGTCCATTTACATTTAGGGTTAATATTGTTATGTGTGAATTTGATACTGCCATTTTGATGCTAAGTGGCTGTTTTGCCTGTTAGTTGTTGTAGATTCTTCATTATGTTGATGCTCTTTAGCATTCAGTGTGATTTTGGAATGGCTGGTACTGGTTGATCCTTTCTATGCGTAGTGCCTCTTTTAGGAGCTCTTGTAAAGCAGGCCTGGTGGTGATGAAATCTCTGAGTACTTGCTTGTTCGCAAAGGATTTTATTTTTCCTTCACTGCTGAAGCTCAGTTTGGCTGGATATGAAATCTGGGTTGAAAGTTCTTTTCTTTAAGAATGTTGAATATTGGCCCCCACTCTCTTCTGGCTTGTAGTGTTTCTGCCGAGAGATCTGCTGTGAGTCTGATGGGCTTCCCTTTGTGGGTGACCCGACCTTTCTCTCTGGCTGCCCTTAGTATTCTCTCCTTTATTTCAACCCTGTTGAATCTAACGATTATGTGCCTTGGGGTTGCTCTTCTTGCGGAATATCTTTGTGGTGTTCTCTGTATTTCCTGCAATTGAGTGTTGGCCTGTCTTGCTAGGTGGGGGAAGTTTTCCTGGATGATGTCCTGAAGAGTATTTTCAGCTTGGATTCATTCTCTTCATCCCCTTCTGGTACACCTATCAAACGTAGGTTAGGTCTTTTCACATAGTCCCACATTTCTTGGAGACTTTGTTCATTCCTTTTTGCGCTTTTTTCTCTAATCTTGGTTTCTCGTTTTATTTCATTGAGTTGGTCTTCGACTTCAGATATTCTTTCTTCTGCTTGGTCGATTCGGCTATTGAAACTTGTGCATGCTTCGCGAAGTTCTCGTATTGTGTTTTTCAGCTCCTTTAATTCATTCATATTCCTCTCTAAGTTATCTATTCTTGTTATCATTTCCTCGAATCTTTTTTCAAGGTTCTTAGTTTCTTTGCATTGATTTAATACATGATCTTTTAGCTCACAAAAGTTTCTCATTATCCATCTTCTGAAGTCTAATTCCGTCATTTCGTCACAGTCATTCTCCGTCCAGCTTTGTTCCCTTGCTGGTGAGGAGTTTTGGTCCTTTCTAGGAGGCGAGGTTTTCTGGTTTGGGGTATTATCCTCCTTTTTGCGCTGGTTTCTTCCCATCTTTGTGGATTTGTCCCCTGGTCGTCTGCGTAGTTGCTGACTTTTCGATTGAGTCTCTGAGTGGACACCCCGAATGTTGATGATGAAGTATTTCTGTTGCTTGGTTTTCCTTCTACCAGTCTAGCCCCTTCGCTGTACGACTTCTGAGGTCCGCTCCAGACCCTGCTTGTCTGGGGTGCACCTCTAGCAGCTGTGGCAGAGCGAGGGATGCTACCAGTTTCTTTTTCTGCTATCTTTGTCCCAGGATGATGCCTGCCTAATGTCAGTCTTTTGGATATAGAGGGGACAGGGAGCTGCTTGAGGAGACAGTTTGTACTTTATAGGGGCTTAATTGCTGAGCTGTGAGCTCTGTTGTTCATTCAGGGCTGTTAGGCTGCTATGTTTGATTCTGCTGCAACAGAGCTCATTAAAAAAACCCTTTTTTTTTCTCAAATGCTCGGTGTTGAGGGGTTTGGGCTTTATTTTTGGTTGTCCGTTGAGGTCCTGCCCAGCTAGGACGCAGACTAGCCACTGTTTGCCTGCCGAGGCTCCGCCCTGCTGTCGTGAGGCTCGCCCTGGCTCTGCTGTTCTGCTGTGTTCTCTGCCACGCCCTGCGGCGGAGTCTCTCTGTTGTAGCGGGTTGCCTCGGCAATGGCAGGCTGCGTCAGCAGTGGGCGTGTATCTCAGTAGGGACGGGTTGCCTCGGCAACGGCTGGCTGTGTCAGCAATGGGCGTGTATCTCAGTTGGGGCGGGTTGCCTCGGTAATGGTGGACGCCCCTCCCCCACAGAGCGTCTCGGGCCGTCTGCACGGGGCTTGTTTGAAATCGTGGTTTTGTTTGTCCCACTGGGCCACCCCTAATGCTCTGTCCCTGCAATCCCCTGGGCTGGCCCACTGTCCAAGTCTAGCTCAGTCTCAAGACCAGCCCTCTCACGTCTCCGGTTGCTGGTTCAACAGGGCACCCGGACTAGTGTGCCCTGTGGGGAGCGCTGGGCAGGGCCGGCCGCCGCCACCCCAGCTGCCGGCTTCACCAGGCGGAGGTTCTGCCTGGCGTCCCGCGTCTCCTCTTCACTTGGGAATTTCCCCGTTCCGTGGGCAACAAAGATCAGTCTGGAAATGCAGCTCAGACTCACCTCTCCGCGGACACAAGAGAGCTCCAATCCTGGGTTGTTCTCACAGAGCCATCTTCACCATTCTGTTTGTTCTAAGGCTTATGCCTTAAATCACCCACTGTCATTTAGTGGAGTGGAACTCAAGTACTATCTTTTCTTTATCCATTCGTGTGTTTATGGACACTTAGGTTGGTTCCAAGTCTTAGCTATTGTGAACAGTGCTGCAATAAACATGGGAGTCCAGATATCTCTTTGGTATATTGACTTCCTTTCTTTTTGGGTATATGCGCAGCAGTGGGATTGCTGGATCATATAATAGCTTTATTTTCAGTTTCTTTGAGGAATCTCCAAACTGTTCTGCATAGTATTTGTACTAATTTACATCCCCACCAACAGTGTACAAGGGTTTCCTTTTCTCCAAATCCTTGACAGCATTTATTACTGCCTGTCATTTGGATAAAAGCCATATTAACTGGAGTGAAATGATAGCTCATTCCAGACTTAAAAAAATTTTTTTTTGTCACCTAGGCAGGAATACAGTGACGCAATCTCTGCTCATGGCAATCTCTGTCTCCCAGGTTCAAGCGGTTCTACCGAACACTGTTTCAAGAAGGACCTCAAAGGTGTCCATGTGCTTAAAAAGGGGCACGGCATATGTGTCTCTGGTCCTACCAGGGCCAGCCTGCTGCCATGGTTGGAGGTGAGGACCAGATGTGGTGCTGAAAGGAGAAGACGGGGTGGGAGAAGGGTGGTAGTATCATTCATTCAGGTATGTATGCATGTGTTTATTATTTATCCAGTTTTTAAATAGTGTTAGAATACACATAATTCAATATATATTTATTGATCAACTGATATGTGCCAGGCCTGTGTTTGTGCTGGCAACAGAACAGTAATGAAGACAGAAGAGAAGCAAAGGGAGACAGCTTGACAAGGAAACACCTGGCTCCTCCAACCCCTCATTTACATGTGTATAGGTTGGTGGGGGAAAAACTGACCTAAACTGAAAATTAGACAAACTATTTATTACACATAGTACACGAACAAAATACATAAATATGACCAAAAAAAAGTAAAGGGATTATGACTAAAAGAGTATAGGAACTAATCTAACCTAGGGGGTCGGAGGAGGTAGCCAGTAAGTATAGTCTTGTTTAGCGTAAAACACTCAAACAACCTCCCCCTGCTCAAAAAAAAAAAAAAAACCGAAAACATGGCTTTGGTTTGATAAGCAGCACAGTTCAGATTCAAATATTCCTAGAAGTGTGTGGTCCTAGGCCTTTAAATGACATAGCATCTGGCCAGGCACTATGGCTCGTGCCTGTAATCCCAGGTCTTAGGGAGGCAGAGGTGGGAGGATAGCTTGAGCCCAGGAGTTCGAGACCTGCCTGGGCAATATAGCGAGACACCATTCTCCACAAAAAGGAAAAAACAAAAAGACAAAAAAAAAAAAAAAAAAAAAAAGAAAAGACAGAATTCTACGACAGATGGTGGCTATTTGCATGATGAAGTAGAATAGTAGAACAAACCGAGGTTGACGAGATTTCAAAAATCCCGATTGGCTTTAGTTACCGAGTGACTTCTGGGAAAAATGTGGTTTTAAGAAAAGATGAGATTGGTGTGTAGGTGAAGAACTAGGAGAGAACTCCAGATCTAGGAAATAGTTTGGAAGGAGTAAAAAGCAAACAAGAGGTAAACAGAATTATGTGATGGGTGGAAAACCACAGGAGCCCATCAGAAAGGCTGGGCCTTACGGGCACAGACAATGAAACCAGCTAGAAGGGCAGGAAGTGCACCCTGGGGTGGCCCTCCCCACACAGGAACCTGACCTGGACAGGAAGTGAAGGGCATCATCTGCGGAGCAGGAAGGGGAGATATAAGGGAAGTAAGTGTCCGTTTCATAAACCTTGCTAGAGCTTTTATCCTGTAGTGGGGTTGTAGGCAGCCTGGAGCTTCTCTAACAAAATAATCTGGCCTGCTGGGAGGTATTTGTGAGGGACAAGAAGGGAGACAAGTAAGGTTGGAGTGTGGGCAACTACTGTGGGGCTCTGTCTTGTCTCAGCTCCTTTTTGGGTAACATAAGATACTTGCCTTGGATCCAAACAGGAAGAAAATGAGTCTCATTTCCTCCCCTCTCCCAACCCCCTGCCTCCCATGGTGAAATTACCTATATGGGACTCTTGGTTGACATAAATCTTTGTTTTAATAAAAACCAAAGGATCTGGAGTAGGAAGTGGTTAAGAAGTTGTTTGCTGGAGATTATATCGATAATTCTTCCTGTTTAGACTGAAGAAGGACAATGATAAAGAAGTTAGAACAAAAACCAAACAAACAAACCCACTGTGGTAAATGGGGCAGGGGAAATTGAGAAGTCAAGATGAAGACAGAATTGGACATATATGAATATAAACTTGTTTTAAGCTAGCTGTAAACAGTGTGGTATGAGGAAAGATGGGAAGAGATAGAAAAATAAACAGCATTAAGTTAAAGGGGATAATTATAGGAGCCAAAATGAGAGGTGAGTGTTGCAAGGGATCCAGCTAACTTTAGAGACTTGAGAAGTTTCTTCAAACATTTCCTTTCAGGACACTGTGGGGCTTTAATCTTTCAGGATTTAACAAACCCCTGAATGTATATGCCTTAAATACACACAAACACACATTTTTGCTCTTTCCTGTTGGGGGAGAAGAGATAGTAAGAGATGTGTTCTCCGTTGTCATTTGGAAAACAGCTTCCAGTACGTTTTATTTGCTTTTAAAATCTCTAGAGGATAGTCAGCAAATAGAAATGGGTTTGCAGAAATAACATGGCTTCCTGGAACTTAGGGGGAAGGAAATGGGTGGTTTCTTTAATTACTATAGTATTTGTTTAGTATAGAGTGTGTTATAACTAAAGATAGAATTCTGGCTAATGTCCAGGAGGGAAGGTGAATAATGAATATTATTTGGATATTAATGAATTCAGAAGCTACATACAGTTGTGTTTAATTTACTAGGTTAAGTAAAGCAATAATGTTCTTTGTTTTCATTATCCTGGCCAGATCAGAGTGGACTGAAGTTTGTTTTCAGGTATCTAATCAGTTTAAATTCAAGGACGTTGTTATTTACATATGAAGAGCTAATGACTTTAACCAAGTAAACTTATTTATAACAAAGATGTGACTGGTGACAAAAGGAGTGTTGATACTGCCTTAATTAATTGATTTGCTAATTATTCTTTTCTGCTGGGTGTGATAGTACTTTTCCTAATGAGCAGCAGAAGCAAGAATGCTGCAGCCAGCAGCTTTAACGCAGTAGTAGTAGCAATAGCTTCTTGGCCATTTTAGGTCCATTTGTGCTGAAGTTGTTGACTTCATACAATTTTGTGGACTTTATGAAATTGAGGAACTAAGTGTATTCCTATATGTTTATCCTATTTATTTATCAGCTATGTGACTTAGCTTAAGTCTGAAATGCTTAAAAGGCATTTAATGAAAGTGAAAATAAATTAGACGACCATGTTTGAATTTAAATAACAATTAAAAATATGTCCCACAGCAGTACCACGCATTTATTTCTTCAGGCTTCTTAAAGACATTGATTGGTAATAGAGGCATCCATGCTCATTGGTGTGGGAAGCCCTGGGGAATGGCTAGAAGGCTCATTCATTTTTTTTTCTGTAGGCTTGCAATTGTTTTGTATTTGAAAGTCATGATACTGAAGAAATTCAAAAATCCCCAGGAGATTCCATGTCCACATAACAAATGCAAACTTATCTTTACCGTAATATGTTCACTTCTCATAACTCCTTGATTGGAACCCTTCACTTCATCCAGGCTGTGAGTTCTGTAAGTTTCTGTCACAGGCAGCCATGTTCATTCCTGACACCATGCTTTTGCTTGGCTGTGCCTCCTGCCCAGAATGCTGTCTATCCTCTTAGGCACATCCTCTCTCTGTCCTATTATTGTCCTATTTCTTCCTGATTCAGCGGGGTGGTGATTGGTGGAGATGGCTAACGTTTACTAAGTATATCTCATGTTTTAGGTACTGTGGAGGCAATTTATGTGCATTGTTTAATAATACTCCCGTTTTACAGATAGGGAAAGGAGGCTTAGAGAATGTCACTGGACTCACACTAGTAAGTGGCACAAGGCCAGAATATAAATCTAGGTCTTTTTGGTCATTTCTGGATTTAATCTTATAGAGCCTTGAATTGTTTCTTAACTATTGCATCTACTAAGTCCTTATTTCTGTAAATGGATTGTCAGTGGCTAGAGGCAAGGAGATTATCTTTTAGTTTGCATAGAGCAGGCCCTCAATAGTGATAGCCTTCTATTGAACTGAAAAATAACATGTAAAACATTAAAGGATTTTTATTATTTGGTTAAACACTGGAAAAAAGAAACAAATCCCAGGGAACTAATTTCTCAAAATTACTGCATGAAGATAAGACACTGTGGTTCTGAGTATGGTCAGTGCCATTCCCATGAGTGTCTGGAAATGTGGGGACAGTTCTTAGGTTGTCAGGATACTGGAGGTATCTTGCACTTAGTTGGGGGTAGACAGGGATGTCAAACACTTTGCAGAAAGCGGCAGTTCTGCACCCCACAGGGGCCAGTAAGGGAACCAGCACCTGGAAAACATGGACCCGGATGCCAGACTGAGTTCCAACCTACCTCCACCTTTTACTAACTGAGTAAATCTTTCTCACATTAACTATGGTGCCCTCTCCACTCCTGGCACATGATTAGTGCCCAATAGCGTCAGCTCATAATCACCATCCTCTAGAAAAGTGTACCCCATGGCAAGACATGATCTTTGCAGAGTGGCAGAACTTACTAGACTAATAGTAACGGTGTAAAAATCAAGGTGTAATGAATATAGAGTGGAATAATAGACATTGGAGACTCCAAAAGACAGGAGGGTGGGGCAGGAGTGGGGATGGTGAGGGATGAGAAATTACCTATTGGGTACAATGTACAGTATTCGGGTGATGGGTACACAAAGAGCCCAGACTTCACCACTATACAATATATCTATGTAACAAAACTGCGCTTGTATTTTCCAAGTCTTAAAAAAGAAACCAAAACTAAAAAAAAAAAAAAAAAAAATCAAGGTGTGTTCCAAAACAGTGCTTCTCAAACCTAAATGTGCTTACAAATCTCCTAGAAATCCTGTTACGGTGCAGATTCTGATTCAAGGGATCTAAGGTGGGACCAGAGTGCCTGCATTTCTGATAAGCTTATGATCCCAGAGCTGCTGTTGAGTATCGAAGTTCTAAAGTACATTGAGGGAGAAGCCAACTTCATAAAGGGAATAATGAAGCATTTATTGCATATCTACTATAGAACTTAAATCATAAAAATAGAGTAATGGAGGTTGGATATAAGGAGTATAGAATTTGATTTCTTCACAGAAGGAGCTTCCATCTGCTTTGCCACTTTTATCTGAGAGGCAGAGAGAAAGAGAAAGAGAGAGTGTGCACATTTTCCCTGGATAACTCTATTTTTCGGGGGGAAAAGGCAGAGAGGTATTTCTTATGTATATTTCCTCACACAAAAAAGCCATTTTGGGTCCCCAAATAATTTTAGAAGAGGTATTATAACTAAATAAGGGGAAAACCTGGCAGTTATTATTGGATGCAGGGTGTAAGCCTTGCATATCTCAGAACTAGTAAGAATGGTGTGCATTTGGGTGTTTCTGTGTGTGTGTGTGCAGTATTATATGTCTTTGTGTGAGCTGAAAGTATATTGGGCCATTGCTTGGGAATTGATTTCTTTTTTTATTACCTTTTTTTTGGGGGGGGGAGGAAGGGAGGAAGGCAGGAAGGGAGGGAAGGAGGAAGGGAGGGAGGAAGAAAGGGATGAAGGAAGGAAGAAAGGGAGGAAGGGGGGAGGGAGGGAGGGAGGGAGGGAAGGGAAGGAAGGAAATCAAGCAATGAGAGAGACATTGCCGACCTGGATCTAGAGGTTTACAAGTTGATTTCTTTATTTTTTTTATTTAAATAGATTTTAAAGGAACAAAGATATAGTGGTAAAAGGATCAATGCAACAACAAGAGCTAACGATCCTAACACCCAGATACATAGAGACTTAGATTCAATGAGACATAAAAATTAATAAGGATATCAAGGACTCGAACTCAGATCCAGAATAAGTAAACTTAATAAATATTTATAGAGCTCTCCACTTCAAATACACAAAATAGACATTCTTGTCAATACCACATCACACCTACCCATAGGTTTAAATGAAACATTGATTGGCCATTATTAATACCCAATTTTTTTCAGAATAAAGCAATATTTCCTTTCACCTTCCCTCTTTCTCTTCCTTTCTTCCTCTCCTTTACTCATTTTTTTTCTTTCCTTCTCTCAAAAAAAAAAAAAAGAAAAAGAGAAAATGATTTCTTAAACATCACTAGAGAAGAGAGCTATTTTCCCTTATAAAGATTAAAGCCTCAAGTTAAGGGGCAGGAGTTCCTAAGGCAGTCTTGACTAGGAACTTTGCATATTATAGGCAGTTGATGTTATTTGAACGTAGTCATTGAGAGAAGAGACTACTCATTATCCACTTAAAATACTTCCCGACTGCAGCATGGTGTTCTACCGAAGCCAAAGCAATTGGCTTTGCATTTGGCCAGCTGATTTAGCAAGAAATTTCGCAAATGATGCAGTCCTTACAGATGGTGCTGTTGGGTTTTTTTTTAGAGTGTTTTAAAACACTGATGGATTTGACTATGAACTGAATTTCCAGTTTCTTAGATTCACCTCCAGCCAACCCTGGATGATCTCTACGGCAGCTGGAGACAAGGAACAGATCTTTTCTGCAACTTTATGATAAATGATTTCCTTTAAAAACCACTCGCATAATAAAAATAATTTGGTGTAAACTTGGCCAAGGGGAAC